AAAAATTACGAATTTGAACCTTGTTACTAAGCGTATCTGTTCATTGGGAAAGATAATCGTTTTAAGTTGTAAAGATGTTTTTGATAGATCAGCTTTTGATCATGTAGTCGATATTTATGGTTGAATTATATTAATGTAAAATGTTGTATATGTAAAAATATTGTAACAAATAACAAACATTTTTGAATTTACATAATCCATGCTTGTAGTAGCTCTGTGGCTAAACTGGATAAGCACCGCGGCCTGCGATCATTGTTATTAAGCAACTTTCACAAAAGACAGTCACGGGATGGGTGACCAAAAAATATTATCTAGAGCCTCTGCGTGCTTAGAAAGGCACGTTAAGCCATTGGTTTTGGCTGCGTTTACAGTCTAATACGCATTGGGCCAGCTTGGAGAGCTTTTTTTAGATGAAAAGTAGCCTTGTCACTCCATTACTCTTCAACTATCGACACACAAAAAATCATATCATATACACACACTTTCCATATATATTATTAGTATGGATTTAATCTCAAGAAAAGTAAATTAAGCATACGAATACAATTCGAAAGATTTTATCATAATGTAGAGTTCAGTATACAAGTTGTTATGAGTCTGTTAACTAGTGTTCAGCATGTTTTACCGTTTGTAGTACTTTTAAACTGGTAAGTCTAGGGTTGTCCCTAAATATACAAATACATTTTTATTAGTAATAGGGCGTAGAAACCTTTTTATATTATTATTTTATAGATATTACCTACTTTAAATATACTTAAAATAAAATTTTTAAATTAACATTCATATAAGAAGTTCAAATCTAAATATAAATTTAATGTTCTGAATTTATAATGAATTTAAATTTATAGTTCTGATATAAATAGAAGGTGCGTGACGTTACGCGCTGTTTGCGGCTATGACATATTTGTTTTTTTCATAATTAATATAAGCAATGTTATATTTATAATAAGCATAATATTGTGATTATCGGTAATAGTATATTAAACACTACCAAGAAAAAGAATATGGATTTAATTTCATTTACTGTCTACACCCATATTTATATTCTATTATTCTATTAAATTAATACTTAATAGAAGTGAACGTATTTAACTTAATCTTTAAAAAATACGAACCATAATTCAATCTGTTCATGAACTTTCTGTTTAACTTTCTGTTCATTAAGTACCTAGTAATCAACAACGAAATGTAACGATATAATGTACAGAAACAAAAAACAATAAGACAAAAATCAATTTTAAAACTACTTCAATTTCGCTTATGAAAACTATTGATTAGATAAAATAAAATACTAAATAGAATTATGTGTGTAAATTTTTGTATTTATTTAATTAATAATAAGATAAATAAATAAAAAAGTTAATATAAAATGTTTACCAAATCATCTTGTTTATTGTTAATCTGCTAGTTAGTTCAACTTCAATTATATAATTACAAAAAGAAATTCTTGTTTACAAATTGCTTTTAGGTACGCTTTCCGCTATCCCTATCATTAGGTCTTTTATATTTGAAAATGCTCAAAAAGATTTTCTTTTAAAAACACTAAAATACGCATTAAATTAAAATGTATTTTACAGCATTAATATATTTAAGTTTTTAGACAATTCTCTTCAAAAACAGAGTGCAGACAACATGAACATGAAAATTAGGACAGCTCAATTACTACATCGATTATTTATCGATAAAACTGTCGGTGAATAACCGATCATCCAGTCAGTTGATACATAATTATGATTTTAATAAGGAATTATTACAAACTGATTGTTACATATGTATTTAACTCCGTCCCAAGGTTGCAGGAAGAGATCATTTTAGTGATGAGGCCGCCAATTGTACGTCTCCTATTTTTGTAATATAATTATATTTTTGTTTTGTGTATACGATAAAGAATTTATCTTACTATATCGTTTTTAGGATTTCGTCAAATCCGTGAAGATTATATGTCCAACAGAAGTAGTGTCAGGTCCTATCTCCGTTACATCAAAAGTCACATTAGCTTTTCGAAAATAGACGTAATTTATTTTTCGATAGACAGAATAGGGTTTAGTTGACAGCCCTAGATCGGTGCATCTAACTGCGTATAACTGGCCGCGCCCCGCCAACTAATGAATATAAATCATAAAACAACCCCAGCCAGCCCTTTGGGTAATAAACATTAAAAAATCAATATACGCTCGGTATCGGACCAGTTGTAACATGATTTATTGATACATACCTATGTATATATTACCGTGATACCATCTAAAGTGCGTACTTGTTAAATTAATGAATACTGGCTGATAGCGGTCGTTTTCGCATGCCGATGTGTATTTTTGTATTCTGATTTTGGTCGATCACATTTACATTCGTAACTTTTTATTCAATTGCATATTAAATAATATGCTAGATTCAAAATGTCGGTTGAAGTTATACCAAAAGTTTTTCTAGATATTATAAATAAGGTATTGTAATTATGCAAAATTATCAAAATAATTAATTAATCTATAGATGTTAATTGTGATATTACCAAAATAATTTTCTTATCATCATCATAACCAGCATAATAATGTCCCCACTTCTGGGGACCAGACCTTTCCTACGCATGGAATCAAATCAAATCGAATAGGGAGAATAGGCCATGACGTGACATGACCCACCATGCGTGGCCAATGCGGATTGATAGATATTAACTAACTGCAAATGCAGCCGTGATCAACGGATACCGTGTCGTCTGAAGCACGGGGACTCGAGATAATAAAGTTGTGGTCACCCATCTTATCATTAGTAATTGCAAAAGTCGCTTTACCACCGCAACGCAGACCGAACGGGCTTTTCGCTTGTTTTCCACGATTGGTTTTAAGCAGTTGATAATGAATGGATGTGAATTTCCCTTACATGATAACTTGCAAGTTCACGGTATAAAAATAAATCTAATCAAAATGTTCATCCTCAAAGAATAATTTTCGTCGCCCATTCGTATTATCATATTCATATCACAGAATCTTCACAGAAACATATATTTATGTATGAAGGGTACCCTATCTCAGGATGTAAAGCCGGATATCCGCGCTGCTTTGTTACAACCTCGTTACATTCCACAACAATTATAATAAGAAGAGAATAGAAAAGATAAAAGTCAACGACCTGTTGTCCGTATATGCCATAACGCAGTTTTATATAAACTTCTTGTCTAGGATCACATCCTTCTTGTGAACGTGTGCTTTTTCTTTTTTAATCTCAAATTAAGCTAACATAGTTGACTTAATTTAGTTTTAGGCGAACCAGTTAAACTGCTATATACGTCTGTAAAAACTTATTATTTTTGAAGCTATTACGACTGTCACGAATTTGTTCTTCCAAAGAATTTCATACAAACAAACAAAATCGAAACTTTACCTCTTTATAATATGAGTATAGGTACTCGTACTTATACACGTGTTTTATTGAAGATAAATAAATATTCTTACTGTCCAGAGAAGAACGTTAAAGTAAATCTAAATTAAAATAACCGCAAATTACCAAAGAAAGTTGTACTCTCCATTTGAAGAGAAAAAAGCAGCCTTAGCTGTGTTTCTTGTCGGACTTAGATGATGACGATATTTAGTTTTTATATTATTGTAACAAATAATTTAATTTCTTCTATGTTTTGGTTTGATTTTATTTAAATCTCAATAATGTTATTTGTTGTGTTCGTGGCACAATTTATTCTGGCCTGTTCCTTTTTGAACATTAATACTTTTAAGATTAATCTCTCGAAGGACGTGACGTCGATTACAAATGGAAATCGTTAAAATGTATATTTTTTAGAATTGCTAAATGGACTTTTGGACGGTGCCTATAATAAGCTTTATAAGTCATCAGTATTGTTCACAGTTTAGTAACATTTTACCAATAATTGAATTACGTACATAAATACACAGGGATAATTTTGGTAATTCAGCATGTGGACCACATAAGGTACTACAACGCTTTCTACATCAAGTGAAAACTAAACAATTTTTTGAGCATTCCAGAGCTCAATAGGTTTGTCAATGTAAACAGAGTTGTTTACATTAACAGAACTACGGAGCTCTTCAATGTCGAAATATAATTAAGGCCTTAATTTTATTACAACTGATTTAGGTTTCTTTTAACAGTGAAATAGATTTATTACAAACAATAATCTTCATTAAATTCATACATACTGTAATTGAAGTAACGCTTATCGTATCTTTGTGTCGTTAGCTATCTCGCTCGCACAAAAAGGCGACGCTCCTTTGTATTCATGGGGTCATTTATGTTATTTATCAAATGTTTTCGGTTCGACGGCGCCGTTTATGAAGCAATATTACGAAGGGCAAGATGCCAATTAAAAACTGCAATTAAATACGCGGCTTGAATGTTAAAAGAGTCGTTACAAAAGATCCTTTGTAGAACGACCTGGTTAGTCTAGCTGGCTAGATGAAGAAAATATACAATTGTACGTAAATGTAAGTTAATTGTAGTTATCACGATTTGATCACGATTTTAATCTTATAGTAGGAGCAATCTTGTTAGGAAAAATTGAATTTATATTTTCTTAATTCTATTTTTTTTTAAGGAATACCTGCTCTCTTCAAAATATTTAAGAATAATCTATATTAATGTTTGTTTGAACGCGTTAATCTCAGGAACTACTGGTTCGAATTGAAAAATTCTTTTTGTGTTGAATAGACCATTTATCAAGGAAGGCTTTAGGCTATATAACATCATGCTGCAACTAATAGGAGCGAAGAAATATTGGAAAACGCGGACGAAGTCGCTGGCGGCCGCTAGTAATTAGTAAACGGAAATAATTTTTTGAACTCAGGGTGTCAATATTAAGGCTACGAAAAGGTAAACTGAACTTCAATCGCCAACACTTCAAGTTAAGTTTTTTTAATAGAGGAACCAAAAAAAATATTGGTAAATATAAATAACGCGTAACTTAATAGTTGTGACTAAAAATTATGTGAATATTTTTTTATATCCGCATTTTTTTAAATATTAAGCTCTCAGGAAAATTACTCAAATTCAGAAACCACATTTAATTTATAGCCTGTAAAATACAAATAAGTATAATATTAACACACATTTTATTTTATTTATGAAGCATTAACATAAAATAAATTATAGTTAAAGTAAAAATACATTATTTTAAAATATAAATATTATAATTAGTTTATTATACCATGACATTTAGAAGGTACTTATCTGTATTTAGATCTAGCTAGTTTATTTTACAAAAAAAAATATATAATTATTAATGTTCAATTATTTTCGAGTTAATTATTAACGAGGTTATATGAGGAAGTGGTAAAAAGTAACAATATAAGCTAGAGTATAGAAGACTCTTAGAGTGCCAGGACAAAGTGGATTTTGTAAATAAATAGTTTTGGAGTTAATTCAAGATCATAGAGAATTAGAATGAAATGTGCGAAAATTACCATTGTCGACTTAATTCAGTCACAGATGCTATTAAATGTATTGCAAATTTTATCACCAAATAGGATTAAGTGACAGCGATTCACACCATACATGGACTCTTATATTTCTCAACCAAATACTTAAAGAGATTTAATTCAAATCTTTTATTTAATATCTGCTTTTCGTTACAGGCGATAAAAATATTTTTATTTGCCGTTCATCTCCTTGGAGGCTGCACCAATGCATTTCAACTGGTAAATTGTCCCCTTGTTAAGGCTCCTCCGCTTGCATAATGAACTCCGTGGAGATAATATAATTTTATTTTCCCTATAAAGCTAGCCTACGATCATCTCTAGGCGGGGGTTGGGCGGCCCGTTGCTATGGCAACCGTAGGGCGCCCGCACGCCCTCTCGATTGTTATCTCGAAGAAGATGCTGCCTCCCCACCTTGCCTTCCGTCGCTTATACCTACATCTCCGAGCTTAATCTAAAAGGGTTCAAATTCGCCCTTATCGCACACTAAACCAGTCCTTAACCTCCTACCTATAAAGATTACATTACTAAAATTTCGTTTTCACGTGATGAAATCGATAAGCCCGAGTGTCGCCGAGATATTTTCACAATGGTACTGATAGTACATTTTTGTGTAAGTACATTTTTTATCGTCCTCGTGTTGTGGAGTCTGGGTGTCCGATATCAATTCTTTTGTTGTTTTACATAATAAAGCACAGACACAGTACAACGTGTAGACTTAGGCTTAAAGTACTTATGTTATAGGTTTCCAACTAAAGTGTATAAAAGAGAAAATAAGGAAGAGAGATTCGTTTGTGACTTCCTTGGTTTACCTAAGGGAGTCAGTAGCTTAAAACTTAAAATATATAATGTTATAGAAAAGAAAATACGCTTCATCCTGCACCTAATGCAAATCAAATTCAGTCATTTGAATATTTTTTTATTGCGTCTCTCTTAAGCTACTCCTAAATCTAATGAAACCTCTTAATGATATTTAACGTTAACCGGCTGTTCGAATGATAGGTACGAGGAATAAAGATTGTTATAAAGATATATCTTAGTGATGAAATAAGAAAAATGCTCACCCAAAGATTTTCCTTTGTCGAGCGAGCCTAACATTGACTCATCTGTCCTCGTTCGGCCGAATCCTAACGCTGTACCAGTAGCTTCCTGGCCCAGCTGGCCACCATAGAAGTCACCGAACGCTGTTGCCGAGCCGAGCAGTCCTGAGCGATCTTGGAGCGCTGCCTTCGCTTTTTCGACGCTCTGCTTTAGTTGCTCGAAAGTGGACTGGTGTAGACGATACGGTGGCCATTCTGTTGTTGGCCAAGGCTCTTCTTTTAAGGCACTCCGTTTCAGTTCAAGGGCACCAGCGTACGAACAACTGCTTTCATACATCGCAACTTTGCTAAGTGCCGACGCACACCTCAGACTGCGGAAGTCAAGCCTGTGAACAAAATATATGATTTTATTTTATTACTGTTCTGTTATCACTCGTTTAGCACTTTTTTACAGTCGAGAGAAGAAATAAATTGAAAATATGTCATAATTTAAACAGATATTTTTACAAAATAAATAAGAATTCGATTGATGTAAGAACTAATAATTATTAGAATACTTTTTTAATTAGCTATGAAAGTTTTTACTTCATTCGAATTCCCGTCTATTGGTTAAAATTATTTGCCTAAGTTAAGACGTTTTCTCAAGTAAGTTCTTCTCATGACTATAGATACGAGAAATAACTACTATTTATATAACTTAAATGATAAGTTTGCCATTGCGATTTTATTTCAAATGCTTCCGTTGTTAGTTCTGTCTGTATTCTACGTATGAGTACATGAAATTGTTACAGAATCTTTAAAACACTACTTAGGTCATTATCTTAATAGTTTATTGATAAGTTGAAAATATGACAACGGTTGATAAAAATGTAGGAAATATTTATGCCTTTTTCATATAATCTGCTGAGTCTGTTTCTCTGTAGTGAATTGATAGCGCAGATACGATTTATATATTTCGTGATATGGTTCGTGTAATTTATAATAATAAAATCTTATTTAAGCAACTATTAGCGGAAACCTGGTAATTGGCTTATTTTTATCTATGTTCAAATTGTCGATGTTTGTAGCTGTTGGTTTCTTAAGATAAATAATGAAAATATAATAGAGAATTTAGCAGATTTGTTAACACAGTAATATTTATAATCGATATAAGCAGAATTTGTAGATTATTAGAAGGAAATTGAATATGTTGTGTTGTAGGCTTCATTGTGATCAATATTGAAATTAGAATTTGCCTTATAACATCATTTCAAAAATTGCCCTCGAAATTAAATTCCATAATACCTACGTATAAACTTACCAAAGTGTGTCAATATTTATATCAAACCAAATCATTTGCGAATTTCCGTTTTCTTTCTTATATACCAAAATGAAATTAAATTTCAAAAATTACATGGTGGCAAATCATATTCAAACTATTACTCTAATAAGAATTATTTTGTATAGCTTTGTGTTTCAAAAATTTATTTATTCGAAAAAATATATTTTGTGTTAGTTATTTATAGTAGATTTTTTAATTGACACAAAATAACAATGTCTGTTGTTATGTGGTAGCTTTACACTACATACGTGGAATAACTTTGAAAGTATTGATTATATGTAAATCTTACTTATAAAATAATTATAGTAGAAATGTGTACGGTACTGTACTAGGTAGAAGTAAATGGGCCACCCGCAAAGATAAACCGAGAAATTTGCCGAGTTTAGGCGAAAGGCCATGTGCAAGGACGTGCTGAACTCGACACACACGAATTTAGTTGACCGAATACTCAGTTGTTTCATGTATGTAGGAAATTTATAAATTTAATAACTTTTTCGAATAGAAGTTGAAAACGTTCTGGCTTTAAAAATGTAATAAAACACAAGTTAAAAGAAATAATAATAATAAATAACGCTGGCAAGTCTAAGTCGCGATTGACTTAGTTATTGTTTTATTCCAAAAGGATTTAGTAGTATCCAAGAATTCATACGCATTAAAATAATAAAAACAATCCAACTCAAACTCTATAATGCAGCTTTGAGAGATGGTTTAAAAAACCATCGAAAGTCTCTTTTATTATAGTATAAATGTGAAATATCGAGTTCCTCATAAATTATGTTTCGATTGAGGTTATGCATATTTGCAAGGACTGATCATTATTTGGGTGTTCATTTATTATCTCGAGCTGTTCCGTTCTTCAGAAGGCACAGTAAGCCGTAGGTTTCGAGCGCATTTTCAGACGTTAATACCCACCAATCTGCACTGAGCCCTGATAGTGGGTTATGATCCGTTTTCCTTGCACGATTCTATGCACAGGGAAGACCTGTTCCCTAATAGTAGTGACAAAGGTCCTACTAAACTACTAAAGTGGAAGACATTAAAAAAAAACAGTGTAACATGAGCTACACATATCTAACTCATCATGCGAAGTTTTAGTAATGGAAGTATACGAGGGAAAGCTTTGCAAATGTTTGTATATTATATCGATATCTATTCATGTAGTCGGGGTTCACCAAATCCGTATAACAAGTAGCTGATATTTGTTTTTATTTCACAGAAGTAACATATTTTGTTCTTTTTTTTTTAAATGCCATTGTCATGAATTGGGTCACACTAGCTTATATACAAAATTTGCATAATTACTTGAATTTAGTACTTTCTTGAAATAATATTTCAAATCCAATTGAAAATTGTAACGTTTGAATAATATGCAACTCTACCATCACTACAATTAGTTATTGAATACGGTTCAATTATAGCGGTGGAAGTGAGATCGTGTTATCATGAGTATAGTGTTTTGATAAAAACTTTTGGATGGCATTTAAGCGAATTAAGTCATAATTAAATTATAGAACGAAACCGATTCGGTTTCGTTATAATTGCTTACATCCCACGAAGGTATGGAGCAAAATCATGAGACCGATCACAAACCAATGCGCCACGCGGCGCTGGTTGAATGTAATCTCCGCTTCACATTGATGATAACTTTATTTCGCATTCGTATTCTCTATGTTACCCGTCAATGAGACAGACGATAGCATTCTAGGCGTTGCACCGTATGAAGCGTTTAAATATTTATTTGTAATCTGACAGAAAATAATGATATTGCATTTGTGCACATCTCTCGTATCAGCCCTGCGATTCTGTAAAAATCCAGACCCGAATTCGAATTCACTCATGTGTCCGAATTCACGTCATTTAGTGTAAAAATTCTATTGATTCCATTTTTTTTTGTATAAAAATACAAAACAAAATTGATTGAATACACGTGTCTCAGATATTCTATTCCTATATCATTTCGAAACTCACTTCACTTATGCTACGAAACGTTATTACCAATTCAAGGTTGAGCGTATGCCTCTTTTTGAAGTCAATTCGGACACCTGAGAGAATTCGAATTCGGGTTTGGAGTTTTACAGAATCGCAAGGCTGTTCTCGGTTACAAAATTATTTACATAGGTATATATTCTAATATATGAAAATAATATAATTATCATCATCATTATGTCAGCAGTACAGCGTCTACTGCTGGGCAATAATATAATAACAGGATGGAATTATGTACCACTGCGTTTTAGAACTAATATTTTATTTTAGACATAATTATTAATCACCATTCAGTTCAATGTCATCAGCTAGAAATGTTATGTTAAATACGATCAAATTGAAATGTACTGATTCGATTTACGCTTAGTGTTGGCGATTTCTTAACGCAACTAAATCGTAGTGTCAGTGGTACCGCAATAGTACCACGTCGTGTCTTCTTTTGACAAAGACTTTTGCATCGCATTTAAGAGATTAATGATTAATTTAAAAAAACATCAAATTAGATATAGATCGTAAACATGCTGCCTATAATAAATTCACATGGTATTACGACCAGTCTTCTCACCTCATATCGGATATCCTTTTGCGTTTAGCTCGTTTTGTTTCTCTCCTAATATTATCCGTTGTGGCTGTTTGTTTGTGGTATCACATTTCAGTGATACCACTCTTTTATTGATATACAACACACACAACACTATCACAACACTAATGTTACAATCATAATTATATAATGCAACAGTGTGACGTTTTAATTATGTATAGGATCTGTAGATCTCCGTTGATCATTTCACAGTGGCCTTCCGATGACTACGGGCAACGCGCTTGCGCCGTTTGCCATAATGTTCAAATTGATCCCATCCGGTTGAATAGTGCAGGAGAGTGTGTGCGGCTTTAAATAACACTGTATTGTCCACCTCATGAATCATTAAAACCATGTATTAGAATTTTTATGTAAGAATAAATAAAATAATCCTAAAATAAGGATGCAGGCTCAATTAAAATATGTAGAGATGATCTGTTCCAGACTATTTAATTTTATGTCTTAGATTTATACATTCAACAACATCAAAGTGATAAGATTATTTTTTTGTTTTTAATTTTTATTGTTTTAGGCTGTTACCTATATAATCTGATAATACCATTTATCAATTGACAATAAATCAATATCACTATTTAATAATCCACGAAGAAAAATTTCTTACTGGCCTTGATGGATTACTAACCAGTTTTTACACCATACTATTTCACTATGCCATTATTACTTACATGCACGAAAGATATCTGCAATAAATTATTTATTTATGACACCACGAACACTAAAACACTATATTTATACTAATAAACAAAACAAATATTAGGTATTTTCTTTTACTTTATAATAATAATAATAATAAATTTGTTTATTCTCCTCACGAAACTTACATTGCATTAATACATATTATTAATATTAATGATGTTAGGAGCTGGTGTTTGAAATGGGATTAGCCTGTTTTACAAATCACTAGATCCCCACCTCGACATGTGACAGTATTGCGTTTTATAGTTAATTTTTATCATACAATGATGTGTTTAAAAAAAACGGAGAGATATTTGAACGTTTGATTTAGCATAAAACCAGTGCTCAATTACATAAATTCGACCAATTTTGCACGTTAATAAGATTTAATTTTCAGAGACTATATAATTCAATAATTCAGTAAATAAAAGGGTCAAACTAAAGAAGAGTAGCGCCATGGTAGCGCAATATATATTTTTATTAACTTAACGTATGTATATTTAAGCGTTATAAAATTGATATTATTACTGCTGACTTTTCAGAAAAATATGAAGTGTCTTGTAAGTACATAGATAATTATATAGTATAGATGTTGATAAATAATACATCCCTAGGACCAGGAGGGAAATAGTCGCATATCCAATTTATTTACTCGTCGATTTGACCACGAGCGACTCTTTTGTGTCGGCGCGTTCTGCACAAAAACATACATACATATATGGAGTATAAGATTTTATCTGAAAAGGATTGGGAAGTACTGGACAATATGTTGCTGCGCAAATGTGAGCATGTAAAGATGCACCAATCTTGTTGTCAATTCTTGTTGCCTGTTATTTGCAGCGTCAATTGAAGAAAAAGAAAAATATTATTTTTCTTTTTCTTTATTTAGCTAAAATAAAAATTCGCGCATATTTCAAAATATAAATGTCTATACAATAATTAAAACAAATCTTTTGAATTTCTAATCGCGTAATATTATTTTTGTTTATTGTATCCGGCATACACGCATCCAACTTTATTTTAATTCATAAATACAGTAAAGCATCGATTATTTTTTTCGAAAAAAAAAGAATGCTTTTTTATTCCACTTTAATAGTTCCACAGAGTTTGATAAGGCATTATGTACTTTATGCTGTATCATTTATTATTTTCTACCGTTTCTACCGTCACACGAAAAATTTGTGATTTCATATGCAACTACGATATGATGTTCCGTAAAATTTCCATGTATTTTTTTTATTTTCAAAGCAATTATTTTTGCCAGGCGGACCACCCGCCGCCGCAGCGGAGATAACACATCTCTCGCCGTTGCACGTTATTGTTACCAAATTGAAATCCAACCGTTGTTTGTTTAGTCGTGTTAGTTTCACAGGTTTTTTGTTCTTTCTATTTCTGTTTTTATTTCTAGTATTTTTTTTTCTGGATGAGGTAAAAGGGATATAACTACCGTTACTTAATTTATCAATTAATGTAATGTTGGTTGGAAATTTTAATTTCTTAATTCTTTTGTGCTACAAACCACCAAAAACCGGAGGTGCAAAAGATTATAAGTGTAAAAAACCGTAGTATTTAGAAGAAGGGGTATGACATTCACGCTGTCCATAAGATGTCAAAAATATAGTTTCAGTTTAGCATTTAAAAAATAAAAATCTACGTTGTTTGAATTTTTTTTATATTTTTTGTGTTTGTCTTTTTTACGACGTAAAACGATTTCTAGCCAAGTTTATCTGATTACAGACTCACAGTCTGACT